TAGACAGCGTAAGGCGAAGGTCATGCTTTCATTTTGTTTATTGGCGTAATGCCACAATGACCCGAGTTGACCTATTTGTATTTGAGTTATACCCTCCACTCTTCCATCACGAGACCCTATAGCTATCCAGTGTGCCATCTAAGCAATTTTGACGCGTCGCCCACGCAAGGGGATGGGTACAAAATGACGCAACTGGAAATAGTGATTTCGACGCAATTTGAAAAAAAAAATCGTAACCATTGAAAATATTGTCTCTAAACACAGGTTGGTAATATAATAAAACATTGCAATTGGCGGGAAAAGGGCATGACGTTATTGATTTAATTGTAATTAAATGGCTTCAGATGCCATTTAGATTCCTCTAAAAATTCCAAACTCTCGCCCACGCAGAATGTTGCTACACAGTGCCCTGTAACTAAAGACGCTCTCTATTGTCTTCTGTATAACGGTGATATTTATTGTTGAAGTCCAAATTGACTCATACAAATTTCTACTTTTCATTTTTGACTCACAAAAACCGCAAACTCCTGTATGTTAGAGAACACGCTGGCCCTATCCCACCCACTCGTATTACGTATACGACTAATATACCCGAATAGATCAGGTACGGCGCACGCATCACGTGACCCACTCATCACGTGACTCGCTTATCACGTGACACGCCTATCAGCAGTTACCCAGTTGCAACGGAAACTATAGGCCCGGGGACGTCCTGAACAGCACAGCGCTGGGTCGACTAATCGGGCGTGACAAACAATATTTTACAATCAATTGGTGTCTTTTTTTTTTGCACAAGTACTAGATGTATTAGTAATCATGGTTCAGTTTCGGGGAAATTTGAAACGAATCAAAGCAAAATATGGATTGTTTGGTTTTTATGATCACTTGACAATTATATGTGATGACGTTATTGCAATTAAAGTTAATTTCTACTCGTAAACACGCCCCGTTTGTTTGTGAAATGTAAACAACTATACTTTCAAACTGGGTTACTGTGGATAGTACATCGAATTTCACACAGGCATGAACAGTTTTTTATAAATGTTATATAAACACTGTTGATGCCTAACTGAAATTCAGAGTACATATCTGTTAGGTATACATACTATTTCTTGTACAAGGAAGATTTTATAAATTGCATCTAATCAAATAGCCTGACGAGGTGGTGTGAGTTGCGCCCTCAGCGGTGCTACAAACCCAACACATAGACCACTTTCCCGGAAGTAGCAAAACTGGGGTGCAAAAATACTACTGCTTTGTCATGGCGGAAAATACAAACAAGTCAGTTTGCCGATAGTCGATAGAAGGGAATTTCATTTTTGTGTGACGTCGATTGGTACACCCGGAAATGCAATATCACGCGTGCAAGTTTACGTTACACCCCAAAACGACATGCGCGCGCATGCGAAACGCGGTATCTTCGACTTCCGGGAAAGTGGTCTATAGTGGGCCTGATGCCGTTCGGCCGGCGAGGGCGCCACTCACGCCTACATGTCAGGCTACATCTATACTAGGAGATGAATAAAATATCCTACTGGATACGCATGCGCAGAATGCAAATACCCTCCCACAAGTCCACACAACAGTATTCTTCCACGCAAGGTGTTTGCACTTTTCGTTTCTGTTGTGAAAGTAACATGTTACGTGGAGAAAGCACGCGTACATATTGTAACGCGGTGTATAGTGTCAGTTTCATTGTGTTTGAAATAAACATCCTGTGAATTGAATGTTTATGGAATATAATTATGTCAGAGTCGTGGGTGCCCGATGGTATATAGATGATGCAATCGGAGGTGACTGCTTTGAGATTGCAGGACGGCGTCACCAATATCGAGCTGAAGCATCAGTTAGAGTTATAAACTTGAAATTAATCAAGAAATAGATATTTTATGATCAGGGTACAAATATTTATCGATGATTACAGGAAAAATCGATCTGAATTGTATGAAAGTTTATTTACTGTGAAGTACTTTATTTTAACTAAAATTATTTTTTGCTCAGAAATGACTTTTTACATGCTTTGTATGGAATTTATTTACGCTGATTTTTGATGAGTTGACTGTAAACTATGGAAAAAAGGCATATTTGCCAGATTTTATTTTGAATGGATCATCCCTTCAGTGAAAATCGCTAAATAACTTCCAACCAAAAATAAAGTATTTTACAGTACTTGTATACCCCAGTCACTGTTATAGCACATACCCCCTTCCCGACCACCACCACCACCACGTGTACAATGTATTAGAGTAATCCCCAGCTTTCTGCACGTGGCGACGCTACGTCACAGACGTTCCACGTTGCTAAGACGCGCACCACTGTACCATGCATTTCTATGGGCTCTGTGCGCGCTGCTGTGGAACGCCGGTCGAGCCGGTGAAAATTCGAGAAAACAACACAAACTCAACTTTGAAGTAATCCCGAACAACCAAATTTATATATGTTACACACGTAGGGATAATCTTGTTGCACTGTTCAGAGGAGTCTCAACAATCACTCCAAAGTACCATTTTCTGCGAGTTTTGGGCCTTTGTTTTTACCGCCGCGGGTTGCCAGGCGGTGAAAATGCCCGGATGTCCGCCCCCGAGGATAGGGTCCATCGCCCTCAACACACAATGCGTCCACGGCTGGTCTATTTACAGACGAGACCAGGTGTCACGCGCTCACACACAAGTGAGTCACGCACGGCATGATCCACAACAATTGACTTGGACTTTCGGGTTCCTAAAGATTGCTCATTTGCATAACCATTTCAAGGTTTGAACGTATGCGGGCGCACTGCGAGTGGGGTTGTTCTGAAATGATAACCGAGGCGTAACGTAGAATAAACTTATTTTCAAAACAGTTTCAGAACTTCGCAAATTCCTCCAGGAATGATCGGCAATTCATTGATAATTACAGTGAGCAACATTAACCCCATTCACATGATCAAAACAACGCCGGACTAAACTAAATATAGAGAATGGCGGACGGACGGAGACGCTAAAACTGTGGGTCACCTGCGTTAATCATTTGTGTTCTCAGCGTATAAAAGAACCCATGTATTCTTATCGCAACGAGTACGTTGAAATGATGGCCCATTTCGATCATTGTAGGAGCTCTGCTTACAGGTGTGCAATTTGAAGTACATGTATTAAATCTAAATAAATTATTCTCTAGGAAATACTGTTTTATTTATTCGTTATATTCGCTGCTCCGTATTGGTGCGTGAGAATACAAAAAAAGTTTACATTCATCCATGTTAGACTATATGCCATCTATTATCGCGAGACTTGGACAAATATACGAATAATAGACGAGTGAATATGTCGGAGGGCTGTGGGCCGGGTCTCATGTCCTGCTCAGTCTGCGCATGCGAGTTTCCATGGTAATGTACTGAAGTCATGGAGACAGCCAATCAGCGATGACACAGAATTCTACGCCGACTGCCAGACCGTTCTTGAGTGCACTGAGAAGAACGAGCACTGTAAATGGCCGGGTTCCAGGCTACGCGGAAGTGGATCGTATTTGCAAAGTTGAGCTGAGCGTTAATATGTCATGTATATATAGGCACTTGAAAAAAAAAACACTGTGTCGGACACACCTGCGGCTAAATATGATGCGATCACCATACTTGAATTTTATGATGTTTCACAACACGACAGTAAAACAAATCGTACACAAGTCTGTGCTCCTTGATAAATATCAGTTCAAATTCTTCGTATCTACGCCATTGGATGATACTATACTGTGTTTCTCGCGTAAATACGATTTTATAATTTACATATATTTATAAACATGTATATATATTTTTTATTAGACGCATAAAATCCTTAGGAAAGGATAAAAAGGGTCTTACAGAAAGAAATTAAAACAAACTACATATTTAGAAACGTGTACAGTGTGTACCTGTCATGTAACTGTTTGCCTATACCAATGCTACGTATTTAAATTTTAGAAAACGGGTGTTGAAAAGTAGGGTCAAGCGGTCATAAACCTTTGTGTTTTTTCATAAGCACGACGGGAATGCTGGACTCATGATTGGCAGTGCGAATTGTAAAGCATCTTCGCCAGCCAATGAACGTTTGTTTCGGGTCACCCCTCCAAACTAACCCTTGGCAGATTGAACCACTACAGTGTGTATTTAATAGGCGCCCTTAACGACAAGGAGGGGAGATGCGACAAAAATAAACAGCCAATCAGCTACTAGTATATTGTATCAACACTCTAAGAGCGTTTTTTTGGCAACAGTTCAACTCTTGAATGATCAGTTGAGTTGAGTTTCTGAGATTTTCTTTCAGAGTTGACAGTTTCATTACTTTGTTAAAATATCGTCGACATAAATATTTGTCACTTTGCTGACGAAGTATGCCACAAACAACCTGCAACGTTGGCATAAAAAAATATGGAAAACTGGGTGAAAAAATGCAGCGCCGGTTTTTTGGGTTTGGCAAACAACCTAAGCACACTCTACACGCACGGTTACTAGAAGAATTTTGTAACCGTGCTACACGTCGCCATTTCCGACATTTTGTTCTTTGTCTTACGGCGCTATGTTACACAGCGTTTGATTGGGCATCTTCCCAACATGCGCATCCCCTCAGACTGGGCCATTATTGGTAAAAAAAAAAATTAATATTTGTTTGATTATTATTTTTCAATGTTACTAGGATTATTACAGAGCTGCTCAAGAAGGAAATTTAGATGTCATTAAATCGTTCATCAGTAACGTTGAAGACTTGGATAGGAAATATTTTTATGTAAGTACATTATTGTTTGACTCCCAATCTCACGTGATATTATCATGTGACATTCAAGGTGATCACAGATATATACTCAGACGTTGTGGAATATTAAAAATAGAGGCACTATTCTATTACGCAAAAATCGAACGATTTCTTTATTTCGTAGCTTACATTGACCGGCCGATCTTCGACAGAGGAATATTGCTTCCGAATACCCTTACTTAATCGAAATTGCCTATCATCAAATGTGTACAGCACATTATTAAGCATGGAAATGTCCCCGAAATACTTTCGCGTTTGTCGAATCCCACGCGATGTTTGACGCGACTACGACGCTGTGACCTTTGTTTGTCCTGCTTTTACGTTCGATTTCACGCATAACGCGAGATTCTCGCAGTGAACGGAAAATGGTCTATTATATTACACTGCCATGAATACTTTCACGTCACATAGTAGAAGTCAATGCCAGGCTAGATTGTGCTTGATTGGCCACCAAAGCCTAACAGTTAGACCAATCAGAGAGCAGGTTGTTTGTTGACAGGTTTTTTCGGCATACCAAATTCTGTCTTGCATACTGTATGTGCTTCATTTCAACTGCGGAGCTGCCATTGCGCTTTTATTGTGTAATGGGTTCTTGGCTTATTACTGGCCACGAAACATCTGTTATCTAAAAATTAGTGTTGTGCATTGTTACAGTATCAGCGAACGTTGGTTACCCATGCATCGTCGTATGGTCAACGAGAAGTAGTCGAAACATTGATTAATGCTGGTGCGAGTGCTGGATGTAAAGAGGCGGTGAGTTCCGTTAATTATTAAAGCCTCAAGTCAAATTGGGAGATATATTGTTACTTACACTGGGCTAGCCTAGATTCAATGAGGTAACCTAGAATTAAGGGATGAACCATTATTTATTTCATTGGAGGAATCTAGAATCAAAGGGAACTTTCTTTAAAGTTGAATCAAGGGACTTATCATTATTTATGCGGGGGGGGGGGGCAAAACTTGCTGTGGAGGGTAACCTATTATCAATAGTTGGATGATTATTTATGTTGGGAGCAAAGCTAGAATATTGGGATTGATCATCACTATTTATGCTGGGAGGTCTAAACTATGATCAAGGGATGTACAATTATTTATGCGGGGGGCAAAACTTGCTGTGGAGGGTAACCTATTATCAATAGTTGGATGATTATTTATGTTGGGAGCAAAGCTAGAATAATGGGATTGATCATCACTATTTATGCTGGGAGGTCTAAACTATGATCAAGGGATGTACAATTATTTATGCTGGGAGGTCTAAACTATGATCTAGGGATGTACAATTATTTATGCTGGGGGGTCTAAACTATGATCAAGGGATGTACAATTATTTATGCTGGGGGGTCTAAACTATGATCAAGGGATGTACAATTATTTATGCTGGGGGGTCTAAACTATGATCAAGGGATGTACAATTATTTATGCTGGAAGGTCTAAACTATGATCAAGGGATGTACAATTATTTATGCTGGGAGGTCTAAACTATGATCTAGGGATGTACAATTATTTATGCTGGGGGGTCTAAACTATGATCAAGGGATGTACAATTATTTATGCTGGGGGTCTAAACTATGATCAAGGGATGTACAATTATTTATGCTGGGGGGTCTAAACTATGATCTAGGGATGTACAATTATTTATGCTGGGAGGTCTAAACTATGATCAAGGGATGTACAATTATTTATGCTGGGAGGTCTAAACTATGATCAAGGGATGTACAATTATTTATGCTGGGAGGTCTAAACTATGATCAAGGGATGTACAATTATTTATGCTGGGAGTTAATTCAAGGGATGCAGTTATATATATAGTAGGAACTAACCGAGAATCAAGGGATGGATCGATATTTATGCCGGGGGCTATATAACGATTTGAGTCAAGGAATTACACGCCGATTCAAATCAAGCATGAATTGGAATGAATTTGGATGAATTACGAACGAGGATACACAAATTGGCGGATTTGATGATGTACTGAAAAAAAAAAACATCACGAGACACTGCTACATTAACCAAGCACCTTACCAGTTTCTTTCTTTCTGAAAAAAAGTCTTAGTGTCATTTAAATTACAACCAAACGTAATGGTAGTGTTCACTTGTACTGATCTGATTGTCTTATCAATTGTGTCTACAGAATGGCAACACTGCAATACATTTTGCATCCCACAATGGTCATTCTTCCGTAGTTGAAGTTCTGTTACGTCATGGCGTAGATCCAAACTGCAAGAACAATGTAAGCAAACAAAAAGCAAAATGTATTATGATTATCATCATTGCATCTCGGCAGTCAGCAAAGGCAAATATTTCCACCTCAGTTTTTTAAGATAGAGGGCAGTGGTCGTCGCTCCCAGTGAAGTATACAACGCATGTAAAGTACATTGTTTGGTTACGTGAAATTCGAAGACGCGATGCGTGACGACCACCGTCCATATTACTTCTGGCCCAAGTTTTAGGTTATCCAAAATCCAACCCCAGACGAAATGCCTCTGGGTCTGTTCAACAGATTTTCCAAATTCTTTTTGACAAAGAACACAAATTCCATTGTATTTTATTGCTGAGAGCTCCATTGCAATCAACATTTCAAAATTTATTTACATACATGGTTCAGAATTCTACTGTTTACTTGTGTAGTATAACATTGTATTACATTGTATCTTGTTTATCATTTAATGTTGCAATGTTAGGTGTTGGTCTTGCCGCCTCTTTTAATAACCTTTGACTCGTAACTAAGACCAGAGACACAAGAAAAAGAACTCTGACTTTGTCCCATGGAAGTCTATTTCTCTACACAACGCAACCCTATCTCACCCACCACATATTTGTCCAATAATAATACTCATCGAAAATCAGAAAGAAAAAAATGAATGGTTCTCGTGTTCTACTTGAAATCTATTCATCGTTTTAGTTTAGTTAGTACCATTTATCAGTTATTGATATATATCTTGTGTTGTTTTACAGGAAGGACAGACGCCTCTTTATCTTGCCACCTTAAATAATAATATAGAAGTTGTGAAAGTTCTCATCCAGTACAGATGCGACGTGAACAGTCTTTTTGAGGTGAGAATTGTTTTCATGTATGACCCTTAAAAGTCACATATCCTGCTATCCTCTGGGCGGAGCTACGTCACAAGACGTTCCAGTTACTAAGACGCGCACCACTGTACCACGTATTTCTATGGGCTCTGCCCGCGCTGCTGTGGAACGCCGTTCGAGCCGGTGAAAACTCGAGAAAACAACACAAACTCAACTTTAAAGTAATCCCGAACAACCAAATTTATATATGTTACACACGTAGGGCTAATCTTGTTCAGTAGAGTCTCAACAATCATCCCAAAGTACCGTTTTCTGTGAGTTTTTGGCCTTTGTTTTCACCGCAAGGGTTGCCAGGCGATGAAAATGCCCGGATGTCCGCCCCGAAGATAACTGTTTCCTAAACCTGTTACATTTACACATCCTGGTACATTCCACCTTTGTATATACCAGTAAGCTGAAGACCTTGGAAAACAAGTATAACACAAATGTTTTGAATTTAATTGCAATAATTGATTTCATTTCAGAAAAATAATGCTCTCTACACCATACTACGCTATCCGATAAGACATTTAACATCTTCTAAATTTGAGGAGAGTGTTCAAAAACAAGAAGATGCTCTGGGAATTGTCAAATTGTTGGTGGAAGCCGATATTAATATTGATCACATAAGTACTGTAAGTTGCTTTGTTTATCATTATTAGAGTTATGAAATATTGCCATATATCATTAATATTAATGAGGTCATGAATATCAATGCAATCATAAATATTAATTAGATCATGAATACTAATAACATCATGGTTAAATATGAGTGTCACGTGACGGCCGTTTGTGATTACGCCCTATTAAAGGAAACATCAATCCAAACAACATAATGACCCCTAAAGAAAAATGAAGACCCCTAAAAAAAAGGAGAATGCAATTTACTGTTTTTTTTATATCATATTCATTCTCTAGATATTCAACTTTTCATCAGTATTATGTAGACTTTGACTGTTGCGCAGAACAACGAGTACGAACTGAGACGTTTTCAAGCTTTAATTAGATAATTTTCATGTGATTGGAAAGTATCGAAAGAGTCAGTAATCAATGCAAATCGCGCCCATGTCAAACCTCATACTTGTGATTTCCATTTGAAGAGCGCATTGGATTGTGGGAAAATCAATGTTTATCAATACAAATGTCGCACATGCGCAGCGCGACAACTGCCGCACTTTAAGCTTTTCAGTACTTTGCAAGCAAAGTAATTACGTTCATCCACATTTCACATCTTTCTGACCTTTCTGAATTACTCAAAACTGTTTATAAACTCATTATTCATACATAATAAGTATCAAGTTGAAAAGGGGCATGTGATGTGTGTTACATTGAAGCTATGTACTTTGCATGTAACACTGCCACCTACGTTCAGTTTGAGAAATAAAGTTGCCCTGTAGTCACTGGTGAACAAGACAACATGGCGGCCAAATCATTATTTAATCTGTCCAGATAATGACTGATGTCAACTAATTCTATGCAACCAGCACCTTGAACCCCCTCCCCCTGTTAGGGACAGAAATGTATTTCACTTTCAGCATTACACCTCTGTAAGTTGTGCATTACCTGGTATGATATAGTAAGATATATTTTTCAGGATGGCAGAACACCACTAGAAGTAACACAATCAAATATCGGAAGACACTGTGCAAGAACAACTTTCTATAAAGGCGCTGAACATGTAATACTGGGTGCCAAACTGGTAATGTTCTCATTATTAGGCAAAAATACAACAACTTATGTTGCCCTTAAGTCGGAAAATTGAAAAATTGGATCGGTTGGTCAGATTTTTTTTTTTAAACTCGTGAAAACTAAGGGTATCGTAAATAGCCGAGGTATACATGTATGGGGGGGAAAACGCGACCCGGTATTTCATATTTTTCGGTCGGTCACTGAGGGCAACAAAACAATTTTTTTTTGGCCTTATAATATCAATACCCGGGGTAATGTTAAATTTACTCAGGATGTACAAATGCATCATGGGAGATAAGTCATAACAATGCATTATGGAAGAGACACGTGTCACACATTTTTTTTTTGAAATTTGCATACTGGTGAAGAGCGCCATGTGCGGTAGAATAAGGGGGCGTTCTGATTAGGAGGATAGTACATTTGTAATGCATGTTTTGGAAGGAATTATTTAATAGATGTTAAACGTGGAACTTATATCTTGTTGTGGTACTGAAACCTAATACAACAACAAAATAAATAAACAACAATATCACCACAATATTTTCTGTGTGTCTGATGTTAAAATATTGATAACAAGTATTGGTTATGCGATGCTTTACTCATTGGGACGGCTGTTTTGTTCACTGGATCCGAGTATGCTAATTAGGGAACAAATTAGCATATTTGTCGGGAGATAATAACCGAGCGGAACAAATCTTCATTTTGAACTTTAATCTAATGCTATTTCAGGAAAAAGTTTACCAAGAACTTATGATTGAAAAAGGTGTGCCAGTAACTGTTGGTAAACTTTATATCTGTGGTCATTGTGGTGCGGGCAAGTCAACATTGAAGAGATCTCTTTTACTTGTGAGTATTTATCATCACTTGTAGAAAATACATTACGAACTATGAGACTTTAAATTTAGCACATTTTCCAGTCAGCGAAATAAGCAAAATTAAAAGCCAGTGAATACTGTAAAATAACTTATTTTCACTGGGTTTAAATTTCGCTGATTTACCATTTCAGGCATATTCAGTGGGTTTTAAATTCACGGTTTTATCATTTAGATAATGTGTTCTATACTAAATTTTACATATTCACTGTGTTTTAATTTAGCGCATTTTCCAGTCAGCGAATTAAGCAAAATTAAAACCCAGTGAATAATTAATCCTTTTACAGTAATTAACCCCTTTACAGTACACCATTCTTATAAATTACGCCCTCTAGTGACAGAGCGCTTTGTGACGTTAAAATGACGTATATGGATGAAGGAAATGTGTTTAGTTGGTCGTGTAGTGGTCCTTCATGTAGAATACACAGTCAAATATATCATCTTCATTGATTAGCCACTACAGATTGAAACTATATCGACGTTTCGAACCGCCTTTGTGTCGTCCATTTACGTCATGAAAACTTTTCATCCATAGAGAGTGCTATTTAAATCGGGGAGTCGTCACCTGCGCATGCGTCAGATGGCCATTGTGTCATTGTTTACAAACAAGTGTCTACCCATGAGCCTTTGCGTTTTTAGCGCGTGTTGTTATCGACGCTTGGAACTCAATTTCCACGCGTGTGCAGGTGACGAACCTACCGCTTTTAAGTAATTGTCTATTTGTCAATATACTGTTTGCAGATTTCTGGTAAACCGCCTAAACTAAATTCTCGCACACGCGCTTGGAAAATCACTGATGAGTGCAGAACTAATTTGTCTTAACAACGAAAGACTTAAAAACAAAAATTACTTGTCCGTTCATGATGTTATAGATATATAAAAATGGATACTTGAAGGATTACCATTATGATTTGATCTATGCGAGCAAGCGAGTCCGATTATGTGAAACAACTCAAACCACTGAAAGCCACAACTGGTCTATTTAATTTTCACCTATTTTTATCACAGTCAACAAAGGCCACAGATGCACCACCCCCTGGAGATGACAAGTATATCCCTACAGCTGGAATAGAGGTCGAAAACATATTCGTACCAGGAATAGGTAAGGTCAGCTTATGGGACTATGCCGGCCACGCAGAGTTTTTTGTGACACACACGATGTTCCTGGGCGCAAGAACAGCGACTTTTGTTGTGTTGTATCAGATAGCAGATTACCATAAAAAACCACATGGTGTAGAAATCAGGCGACCATTTGAAATCATGGAAGAACAAAAAAACAAGGTAAGACAGACGAAAAATCAGAGGAAAGGCACACAAATAAGAAAAAAAAAGCAGTCGAAAATGCATTCTTGGCTGTGAAAGCTAATCAAATTCTTCTTCTGCTGTTCTTTTTTCTTCTTAAGAAAACCACTGAATGGAATGGTCTAAAATTTCCTATAATGATAAACGCTAATTATCTGAATTTTGATTGGTCAATTGGTTTGGTAGCCATCTTGGATTGAAGTTAAACCAGAAGGGGCCATTTTGAACCCTTTTCGTGGGTCTAACCATTATGATTTTGTTGTTGTAGCTTTATTAGGATATTGGTTGCGCATTCCATCAATAAAATCTGTAGCAGTCACGTGATTTCTTCCTGCCATTTTCCCCTAAAAAACGTAAAAACATGCTTAAAAATCTTCTTCAGAAAAACTAAACATATTGACGTAAACGTTTTTTTAGCATGTATGGATAAATCACATTCAAATTTGAGAATTGGGGTAGGTGTTCACGTGGTTTGGCCGCTATGTCTAATATTTCTAAAGTCATTCTAACTGTTATTTCATTTATCCTTTTACTTCAAAATTTGTCGTATCCCTCAAGTGTACTCCTTCAGACAATATAAATGCTTTACCATCTTGGATTTCTGACAAAAATGACCTCAATTTTGGGCATTCGTTTCTCACGAGTGCTTTGTCCGACCAACTTGATAATTTGCATATAACATGTATGACCAAAAAAGAAAATTATGAGAAATAATTTCGATCAGTCACATGGTTTGGTCACCATCTTGGAATTCTGACAACATGACCACAATTTGGCGCATTTGTTTTTCATGAATGCTTAAAATGATCGATTTGATTCTTGATACTTCTTATGAGAAAAAATTAAATGGTTTTGATCAGCCACATGGTTTGGTAACCATCTTGAATTTTCAGCAATAATGGCTACAATTTGGAAAACGTGTGATCCATGAATGTTTTAACGAACCAACTTGTTATTTAGCGTGTATCATGTATCAAATTCTGAGAATAATAACATACTGTGGAATACTTTATTTTCGCTGGAATTAATTTTCGCTGATAAGGCTTTTGGGGCGTTTTGTATGGAATTTATTTCCACTGATTTTTGATGAGTTTAATGTGAAATATAGGGAAAAAGGTATATTCGCTGGATTTTATTTTCATGGAATCATCCCTTCAGCGAAAATGGCAAAAATAAATTCCAAGCGAAAATAAAGTATTCTACAGTATATACCAGATGGTTCAGCCTTTAAACTTGGACAAGATAACTCTGCTTTATTTCATGTTTACAATATACTGTGGAATACTATATTTTAGCTTGGGATTTATTTCCGATAAATAATATCCAGCGAATATACTTTTTTCCTATATTTAACATTCGTCAAAAACTCTTCAATTAGTGAAAATTAAATTCCATACACAACACCCAAAACGTCTATTCAGTGAAAATTAATTCCAGCTGAAATAAATCATTTTATAGTAATTGATTTTCACGATGTAATTATTATTCACATACATAAACTAATTAATAATTACGAATTTATGCATATTTACGATCTAATCATTCATAAACTCATTCATATTCATAATTTAATTACTCATAAACATTCATAATCAGTTATTATGTAAATAATATAATAAATTGAATATTCTCGATTCAATATTAATGATTTATTTAATGTTCGGTATTTCATTTATTTTCATATTAGTATTCATATTCTTATTGTTATACACGATTTTATTCACATTTAATAATTATAATTCATACTCATGAGGTGATTATTATTCATAATTCCATTCATATATTCATAATTTATTGAATATGGACCATTTAATATTATTTTTCATGACCTCTTTCACTTATATAATCTAATTCATGTTCATTAACATACGATATCACATTTTTTTTCTGTGTTCTGAGATTAATTATTGATTGTAGTGCAGAAGAAATTCAATATTCTCATTAAAAATAATTATGATTTCGTTATTATTGTTCGTCTCATTAATATTTATTCACTTATTAATATTAAAACTATTTCGATATTAAAATCAAGTCATAATTTGGTGGTTCCAGCCCCGGTAATGCTGTATTCCTATTGGTTCTATTTTAAAGGTTCTCCATTGGCTGCGACTAATAAAGGCAACTAATCCTTCCAAGGTGAAAGGTCAAGAAGGTCAGAAGCCAACTGTAATACTTGTGGCAAGTAGAGCTGACTGGGCAGCACAATGGGAACAGGAAGGTGGGTAATAAAACATAATTTTACTTCTGCTCTTGATGCCACTTTCAAAAGACCATTAAGGTTTCCTAATTCTCTTTAAACATTATGAGATTATGAAACAGTGAGATTAAAAACATATCCACATATATATATAGTACATCGCTATGAGTCCCATGCCGACCAGGATGTGGCACGACGACCACCGCCCTTTAAAAGTAACAAGAGCACGTAGAATAGGTCTTATGCATGACCCCCACATCGTCTTACATTTTCATTGGCATATAATGCTGACAATTAGTGATGTTATAGAAAGCAATATCCATAGAAAGTACCTGAGTGTGTTACTTTTGAAGTGGATACAAGAGACTTATTCTTACAATCCCTAGACATAATGGCAACACATCAATTATATAGTATAATTATACATCTGTCGACGTAACGCCATAAGTTACAGTGTGCCGTAATTTTGAATTATTTTACAGGACATTTTCATCCTACCATATAAGGAAATGCGAATTCCAAATATGGAACGATTACGCGCGTGACCGCACTCCACACAAAGAAGTTCACTGATTCTGTTCTAAACATTTTGAATTTCGGCATTCCCATGATGTATCCTTGGAAGGAAAAGATGTATAATAATAAGGTTATTACGAAAATACCTCAAAGTATGCACTCAGACAGTACGCCGGCGCATCGACCTCCGCTGCACGTCAGTCGATACTCCCGCTGTACTGTCTTCGTGCATACTTTAAGGTATTCTCGTAATAACCTCATATTATTCAGCCATTGATATCAGTTGTTGCTAAGGGCTGCATTCAGTGTCTGAAATAACAGACATTTATTAACATTTATTAACATTTATTAACATTTATTAACATTTATTTGTTTATGCGCTAGCTAAGCAAGTGGCTAAACAAATAACAGAAGACTGTTCAGAAATCATGAAGGACCACCTTAACATCGTGGATGAATGTTTTGTCATCAATGGTCATGAGCCAGATACTGCAGACATGGCACGTCTCAGGAATTTACTAAATGCAAGGATCACCAACGTTCTTCAGGTAAAATGATTTTCCCGAGGTCATGTTTACGTTAAAAAAAAAATGTCAGAATATAAACATGCAGGAATGGCGAGTCGTAATGGCCGCCAAGATCTCGTTGGGAGCAATAGTCACGTGACTTGCTTTTACTTCTCAAATACTGGTATATTTTTTATCGTCCTAATGGCGACCACTGTTCTAAATACCATAGTTACATAAGTTGGGAGGGTGGTGTGTGCGTGATGATGACAGAGAATGGAACTTTATTTTGGGAGGGGAAACACAATTCTTGCACTCTTCTCAGTGTCAATGAGATTCTGACGGCCATATGCAAATAAAGTACATTAATTGACATTTATTGCGGTTTATTCACTTAGAACGAAAAACCAATGCCCAGCATATGTGACAAGATTGCAAAGAACATACACACATTGATTGGAGAAAAGAAGCTGTATCCTGTGATGCACTGGGATGATTATTACAGTCACGTGAAAGAAACTATTGATTCAAACATTGAAGAACATTTCTTAGACAAGGCAACAGATTATCTTTATAATATGGGCGAGGTAAGATTATGTTTAACTTATTGGTCTCCACAGCAGACCCAGTTAGCTTCTGCTTCTCACATATGTTGTCTGTGTTGCACAGAAGTGTTGTGAAAATCGATGATTAAATTTTGCAATTTAATTTTTCTAAGAAGACGTAACATGGGGTTCATATAACCAAATAAAAACCTGGACTCTGATCCAATTGAATTCTAAAAAGATGTAACATGGGGCTCATATAGTCAAATAAAAACCTGAAACCTGAATTCTGACCCAATTGAATTCTGAGAAGACGTAACATGGGGTTCATATAACCAAATAAAAACCTGAAACTTGGACTCTGACCCAATTGAATTCCAAGAAGAAGTAATATGGGGTTCATATAACCAAATAAAAACCTGGACTCTTACCCAATTGAATTCTAATAAGACGTAATATGGGGTTCATATAACTAAATAAAACCTGAAACCTGGACTCTGACCCAATTGAATTCTAAGAAGACATAATATGGGGTTCATATAACCAAATAAAAACCTGAAACTTGGACTCTGACCCAATTGAATTCCAAGAAGAAGTAATATGGGGTTCATATAACCAAATAAAAACCTGGACTCTTACCCAATTGAATTCTAATAAGACGTAATATGGGGTTCATATAACTAAATAAAACCTGAAACCTGGACTCTGACCCAATTGAATTCTAAGAAGACGTAATATGGGGTTCATATAACCAAATAAAAACCTGAAACTTGGACTCTGACCCAATTGAATTCCAAGAAGAAGTAATATGGGGTTCATATAACCAAATAAAAACCTGGACTCTTACCCAATTGAATTCTAATAAGACGTAATATGGGGTTCATATAACTAAATAAAACCTGAAACCTGGACTCTGACCCAATTGAATTCTAAGAAGACATAATATGGGGTTCATATAACTAAATAAAACCTGAAACCTGGACTCTGACCCAATTGAATTCTAATAAGACGTAATATGGGGTTCATATAACCAAATAAAAACCTGAAACCTGGACTTTGACCCAATTGAATTCTAATAAGACGTAATGTGGGGTTCATATAACCAAATAAAAACCTGAAACCTGGACTCTGACCCAATTCAATTCTAAGAAGACGTAACATGGGATTCATATAACCAAATAAAAACCTGAAACCTGAAACCTGGACTCTGACCCAATTGAATTCTAATAAGACGTAATATGGGGTTCATATAACCAAATAAAAACCTGAAACCTGGACTCAGAAGTGAAAATCGATGATTGTGCAACAAATTTTGCAATTTAATTTTTCTAAGAAGACGTAACATGGGGTTCATCAATCTGATTAAAATCTGATGTAGTGTACGGG